CAAATAAACCAAAAACTAGAAAGTTCTTGCAAAATTTTCTTATATTGAACAGATATATATTTCTAAAGAAAATAGGAACATTCATGAATCGTCGGGAGAGTACTAGATATGGGGTAGTCTTGTATACATGAGACCGGCCACGAAGCGACGGAGAGGTTATTGAGTAATTGAATGTATGCGGACAAAATATTATTGGCCACGTGAGACGTGAATTATAGTGTTTGTTATAGAGCGACTGTTGAAATTAAGTGTATCGTAAAGTTGTATTCGGAAAGAATAAACCAGTTTTATTTAAGAAAGGACTTGTGTCGCTAAAGTTTCGTCGGAACGAATTTACGGAAAATTAACTAGCGAACGGAGACGTAACAATATGTTCGAATATATAGGTAATGACATCCGATAACTTCAAACAAGCAAACTAAGCTAAAAGTTTCAAGATCATTATTTTTATGAACATTTTTTTTTTAAGTTTTCCTTTACTATCATATTCCTAAGTAAATCAACGTAGCCTTGTTATGCTATTTGTTGCGTTAACTGTAAAAATGGGTTAAGTACAGTAACTCATCATCTGATCCTCCCTTCACCCAAAGTTTTCGTCAAGTCAGCGCCCATACCATATTGTTACGTCTGTGTTCGTTAGTTAATTTTCCGTAAATTCGTTCCAACGAAACTTTAGCGACACAAGTCCTTTCTTAAATAAAACTGGTTTATTCTTTCCGAATACAACTTTACGATACACTTAATTTCAACAGTCGCTCTATAACAAACACTATAATTCACGTCTCACGTGGCCAATAATATTTTGTCCGCATACATTCAATTACTCATTACCTCTGTTGTCCCGTCACGTTGTGACCGTCTTATATATATACAAGACTAACACATATCTAGTAAATACTAGGGCATTCTTGAAGGAACAGGATATTTCTAGAAACAGGTGGCGTGATACTAGTCACGTGACCTCGCTGACGCAACAATATATAAATCTTGATTAAGCAAAAAAAAATTGATATTTTTGCGATAGCCCAAAGTAAATGTAATATCAAATATGAGACGGTAAATCGACATATAAACTTTAATAAATCCCACAAAATCGATTTGCACTTTTTAATAATAAACATGATATGGGATTGAGAGAAAAACTGTTCACAAATCTAATTCTTTTTTTATAATTGATATTAAATGCTATATGAGATAGTGACTAGATTTTTGATAATCGGCGATTGTTTTCGGTATAGTGTGAAGTGTAATAATGTACTGTAAATGAAACTTTAAACTTAATATAAAAAATTACTTGTTCTAATAAATATAAACAGCACAATTTTAAGACATAATAAATAATCAAGAACATCGGTCTTATATATTTTTACCTCATAAAAAAAACATGAGTGACAGTTAATAGAGAAAGCTTCTTAATTCCATAGGTATGGTCGCAGCGTTAGATGATTCTATCGGTCTCGTAGTTGAAGCTTTATACAAAGCAAGTATGTTGAACAACAGCATCATCGTGGTAACCTCTGATAATGGTGGCGCTGCTGGCGGTATCGACGACAGTGCAGCATCCAACTGGCCCCTCAGAGGTACCAAGTATACGATGTGGGAAGGTGGAATCAGAGGCAGCGCCCTCTTATGGAGTCCCCTACTAGAGAAAGGTGGCGGACGAGTAGCTCCACAGATGATGCATATTTCCGATTGGTTACCAACTTTATACCATGCAGCAGGTAAAGTAGTAGTTTCGAATTTTTCCTCACGTCGTAAGTTTGTAGACTTGATTCATTGTTTATATAAATTTATTTTTTGTTGTTGTTCAGTAACGTGATTTATTTTCTTTCAAATTATTGATTTACTAAGTTCGCATACTTTAGTACAGAAGAACTTTACGCTAATATAATAATAAGTTGGCAAACAACGATTTACAAGCATAATGAAGTATTTTATTTTTGGGGGGAACAAAGTACAGATCAGTGTTCTGTCAAAACATGTAACACGTTCCTCCCAAAATAAATCACTTTATTATGATTATAAATCATTGTTTGCTAACTTATTATTATTAGGATCGTGGGTCCGACATGGACAGGTGGTTATGGCGTTCAACTCGCAGTGTGTGGGTTCCGGATTCGATTCTCCGTCCCATCAACATGCGAAATTCAATAAACAGAACAAACAAACTTTTAGTATAACATCACTCACTCTTAGATTAAATGTTTGTATCTTTTCTTCGCCATATATTTGTTTCTACCAAAAGTTTTTGTTGAATTTTGCGCAACGCTACTCTAGCACTATCTGCTTTATCCGTCTCTAATTTTGAAGAAATAGACTAGAGGAAGAACAGCTAGTTGACACCACCCACCGCCAACTCTTGGGCTTCTCTTTGTCAACGACTAGTGAGATAGACCCTCACATTATAACACCTCCATAGCTAAAAAAGCGAGCATTTTTGAGGACATTTTTTTTTCTACTGAAAGAGTTACTTTTATTAGAGTTGCTAACCGCACAACAAAAGTTTTGAAACATTATTTCTGTAAAATAAGAGACATTCTCTAAGTCTGCATGACGTGTTTAAGAGACATGTATATATATATATAAGTAATTGTGCCTTTGGTTTTATTATATGAATATACTGAAGTTATTTATTTGATATTATTTACATATTATTTTTAAGTCTAGGCTTATAAATAAGTCTGAAGAAAGATAAAAATAATTTCAAATGACAAAATGCCAGTAGCTCCACTTGTCAACTTAACCAGTCAATGCCAAAATCGAATCTAAACGTAACTTCCCTTCACATCTATACACGTGTCAAACAAAACGTTGTAGGATTTCAAATGAGCAGATTTCACCACTCCAACACGTAAATTATTCCCAAACCGAAGAATACTTTTGCTCATAATAAGACTGAAACCGGGTTTCGATACCCGTGGTGGGTAGAGGACAAATAGCCCATTGTGTAGCTTTATGCTTAACTACAAACAAAACAAACAAAAACTTTAAAGAAACAAATTCAGAAGTTTAAACCTCTCCTAAAGCTCAGATTTTTTTAAGCTAGGGGTCACTTCAGTGAAATATCTTTGTATCCTTTCCAGTTAATTAATATCCTTCTTGCACTAATGAAATTATACACACAGTATTCCAAATAAAATCTCACTAGAGGCTCCAAGTACTATTTCACTCTTAAATCTACAACTCCCATTTAGAGATTCCATAACTATTCGCTTTGTCACAGTTACACAATCAGCTGAAGGCTTTTATCAATACTCTGAATAATTATATTTTCTACAATACTAATGTTCCCTTCATACAAGAATTAAGTCTCTTTTCGAATTTTATTATACCAGGTGCATAGATTTAGACTTCTTAAAATTGAAACAAATTTTCAATTTTATGGACTATCTACTAAAGCTGTCAGCAGAATCAGCACTTCCAACATTGTGGTATTTGTAGTGTACTTATAAATAATACTGTCCAACAAGCTCATGCGATCCCATTCTATATATGTATATAACATACTTAAAAGGTGCAAAAACTGCTTAAGATACCATCAAAATGCACCATTTTCTTTTTTCTTCAAAAGAAGTACCCCCTTTATAGATATCTGCCAACACTTCTTAGATTATTCAGTTTCTTAATATAGATAAGAACAAGCAAAGGCCCCAAAATACTTTCCTTAAGAATCACACAAGTCACATTTTCTCAGGTAGAAAAGCTGCCATCTACTACCTCTCTTTCTTCATACCACTAACCATATAGACAGCATTAAGTTTACAGAGTTACTACACTAAAATCTGGAGTTCGATTCCTCGCGATGATCACAGCAGATAGCCCGATTTGACTTTGCCCTAAAACAAACTAATCATATTTCCTTTATATTTCTTATCTTTTCCACAAGTATCCACTTTACTAATTATTTAGTTAATATATTGTGTGGCACCTTATAAGATGCTTTTCGTATGTCGAGGTACATGTAGAAAACCTTTGATAAACTCTAACGGTTTGGTAATACAAGAAAACCCTTTATTTGAAACCATTCTGAGTGTTGTTTAATAAATTATATCTTATCTAAATAACCTTTGAGAGTAAATTACATCATTTAGTAAAACCAAATTTAAAGCAATAGGACTATGATACCTTAGATCCTGCTTCACGTCATATTTTTAAATATAGGGATCATATTGAAATCTTCTAATTATAAAGAAATTTTGAGTGATAATACAATCCAGCACTTTGCTAACAACAGAGTCAAACTAATAGGCCTTTAATTTCACGGACCCTAATTTAACCCCTTCGTCTTAGAAACAAGGACCACATTAGCAAGATTCCCATTATCTAGAGCCCTCCAGTGACACAGCGTTAAGTCTCAAGAATCATAGCGCTAAAAACCGGGTTTTGATACCCATGGTGGGCACAGCACAATTAGCTCATTGTGCAGCTTTGCGCTTAAAAATAAACAAACCCACTATCTGGAATGTCCCCATTGTTAATTAACAGATACGTGAAAAATAATAGATACAACTCATTCATTAATTGTTGAGCTTCAAAGTGTTTGGACAAATTTCATCATAGCCAGAGATTTACTTTCAAGGAGCTTTCTAAGCATTTCAAAAGCTGCATCTTTAATAAAAATATTATTTAAGGAATTCTCTAACCCTGTTATTAAAGAAATTGATCAAATTACGATAAACTCCTCATTTTATAAATGAAAACAACAGTACAGTTTGAGTGATTCAGACACATGTTTTCATTATAATGTCCCTTTATCAGATCAGATTTAGTTGTTTGAGTTAAGAGGCTCTCATATTACTCTTAATCTTCACAACCGCTTCCCTCACTTCTTGTTTATTTCGATAAACCCCGCCATGTTTTAGTAAATTTTACGTAATTGCAAACTTGTCATTTTTCATCTATTAGTAGTTTTATCTTCCATTTCATCCATTTAGGGTTAGATTTTATTGTAACACATGTAATTGAGACGAATGTATATATTTTCCACCTAGTTTGTTCGAGGTAATGAAAATAACTTTTTTAAAATCGGAACATAATGCTTTTTAATACACAAATTTATTACAATAAAAACACCAAAGTGACAATGTTGTGATCGCTAGTACTCAAGTAATCTTGCATAACTAAATACCTAACCGTATTCTTCTCAGTAGCCTTTTTTTCAGTACCAAGAACAAGGCTTAGCATAATATATTTTCTAGAAGGATCTTTCAGATTCTGAATTAGAAAACCATTCAATTCAATACCAACAAATTATGTTTGTTTGTAATTAAGCACAAAGCTACAC